TGTTTAAAAACAAAACTATTCTATCTGGGTCGTTTGATTCATTCTTGTCTATTATCAGCAGTAAAGATGAAAAGCGATAGAAAAAGCAACGCTTAGACTGTTAAGAATTGGCAGTTTCCCGATTGTCCAGCTTTACACGAACAATTTATGCTGTCAATTTTAAAACATTTTGTTAAAGTTTAAAATGCCAGTAATTTTGTGTTGGACACGGGGCCTGATTAAAGCATTTCGAAGCCCTAAGCTGAACTCTGTAAGGCCCCTTACCAACCCTTCACAATTTTAGAAGTCAATCTTAAAAAGAAAAGAATTAAATCAGACTATGACTTTAATTTAATACGGTTATTGGAAGAAAAAGACGTGAGGTTTCACTAGTCTTCTGTTTTATAACTAAATTTAATTAAATTTTTATACCCATTCCATTAAAAAAATTTTTAAAAATTGGTTTTATCAATTTAAAAAAAAAATCTTATGTTAATTTTTAGAAAAAAATTAATGAAATACAACACAAAATAATAGTAAAGAATATTTTGTTGGTTTGTAAAAAAATGTTTATTACAAAATCTGATTTTAATTTTCTTTTTTGTACAAATGTTTGAAGTCCCTTGAAAGTCGAGCCTTTTTACTTGTAAATCCGGCCCTGATGAGACAATTTCAACGCTGGTGTTTTTTAACACAAAGGGCACAAATATGTATAGAACGATCTCACTCATTTGTTTCGATACCACATAATGACGTGTCCCGCTAACAATAATTGTTCTCCTATAAAATTTCTTGATAAACAGCTACAGGCAGCATATCTATCTATATAACCCATTGAACGCGTGTCCGTCCGTCCGTCGGCTTATCCGCGTAACGGTATACCAAAAACGGGCACTAGAGGAGCCCTAGCGATGATTTTAAATTAACAGTAAATTAGTTTTATTTGTAATAAGAATTTATTATTTATACCACGGAATGGTATAAATAATTATTATATGCCTTGATTAACCTTGCACAGCATGTTTACAACATCCCGTGACTCACAAGTTAGTGAACGTCGCGCATTGACTCACGGGAAATTTGTTGAAAAAATGGCGGATACATTTAAAATTGAGGTTTACAACCGAAGGTAAATAAACAAATTAAACTATTTTAAAGTTTTATAGAATGTTTAATAGATAGAAATATAGGGTTGAAATCTAAGACAAATGTACGCGATTGAAACTGGAAGACAGCTGTAGAATATATCGATAGGAACAAAAATGTGAAAGGAACCGTGCTTCATGGGAATTTGTAAATAACGCCCACTAGGGGGCGTTCCGGGCTACTAGTATCTTTATATCCGACAGTAATATATAAATAAGATTGATTAACTGGTGTCGGGAACCTGACAGGAATCGGAACTTCGCCGTTCAGATCATTTTTTTTTTACGCTCTCCTATATAAACTTTTACGATCGGATCTAGAGATCCGAAACTCGGAGATCTATTCTCGCGGAATAGTGCCGATTAAGTGGTATCAACGATCCTTAGCGGAGTTGTACCCCCGGCTAATCTCACACAGGTGTCCTAGCAAAGAATGCTTGTTGTTCATACACCCACAGCCCTCAGGATCACATTCTTCTCTATTGTTCTAAAAGGATTAATCATCACCCAAGTAGGAAGTCTTGTGTAAAAAAATTCTAATAAGGACAAACAATAGACAAAAAAGAAAGAAAGGAAAATATATAAAAATTAGAACAAATTATATATCTAATATGGCGTATAGCCACAATACGTAACGATCTTTATCGAATCTTAAATATAAGACGCAAGTTTATGACACATAATTGACAAAAATTGAATCCTTCCAAAACGTCGGGACACCGCGGGGTGCGGGACAAATTGTTAAAAATCGGGACTGTCGGGACGTCTGGTCACCTTATCATTTATAGAAATATTAAAACATCATTTCATTTTAAGTATAGATTAAAATCAACATGTAATAATGCGTATGATAATGCGATAAATAACTAATAATTCTGCTCTGCTTTTAAATGGCCTAATCTCTTTCATGTCGTAAATAAAATTGTATAATATTTATTTACATCGAGACATTAGACATCTTATGTTGCATTTAATTTATATTTATCATCATAATATATATCAAGATAGAATTATTGTCGTTAACCAGCGATTTACCTTTGTTGTTTCATATAGTCAATAATAATAATAAGTCGTTTCTAATTACAATAAAAATACTATAGTATATTATGATCTATCGCGTGAAGTTCAGCGAATTCTTCGCAGAAAGAATAAGTCATCAAATAACACGTCAGAGATTAGTATCACCGTATGGCACCCACAGATGTCACGTGACACGCTTCGTAGGTAGATGTGCCGCTCTGCGACGATTGGCTAATCCAAAATGATTAACTAATCAGCGACCGGCTTGCGAGAGACAGTGACCAAAATATGACCCGTGTAGTTGCCGAGATTACAGTAAGGTGAGAAAAAGTCAGTAGACGGCAAGATATACTTTATATCGAAATGGATAGCGCCAGTATTTCATCTAGAGAGAAAATTATCGTCGGTGGAAAGTATAAATTCATACGTAAGATAGGCAGTGGTTCGTTTGGAGACGTTTATCATGGCGTCGACATCACAAATAGAGAAGGTGTTGCTATAAAATTGTCAAGAAAAGCAAAGCGTTATCAACTACTCTACGAAAGTAAATTATATAAAATTATTCGAGGTGGTGTTGGTATACCGCGTATACGATGGCATGGACAAGAAGGTAATTATAATGCTTTAGTCATGGATATTCTTGGGCCAAGTTTAGAAGATCTTTTTACATTCTGTTTACACCGTTTCACTATGAAAACAGTGTTAATGCTGGCTGATCAGATGATTGAACGAATTGAATATGTTCACAATAAGAATTTCATTCATCGAGACATTAAACCAGATAATTTTCTTATGGGAATTGGAAGACATCGCATTATGCTTTATCTCAGGGGTGGCCAAAACGTGGCGCATGCGCCAAATGTGGCGCATTGGACGATTACAAGTGGCGCTTCAGTTAGTTCTGAGCAAAATTGCCAGATTTGGCTTTTTTGCGATTAAGAATATTATATAAAAAATGAAATTTTTTATAGTCTGTCATGGCAAGTTCATTTGTTGCACAATTCGTTACAGTCTATTTTGCAGATAAAATGAGTGTTCTCCACATAGTAAATTACAGTGAACGCACGTATTTTGAGTCTTGCGATCTTTATTTCCGATCAGTTTACAGGCGTGTAAATGGCAGAAAACATTTATTGTGATTAAAGTTATTCCAAGCTGATCTTGTTCTCAGTGCCAATAATTGTGGTGCAGGGTAATCTTTACCAAACGAGACTCTGGCAGCAATAGCACCATCATGAATACAAGAGATTATTGTTGACTATTGTAAATTGGTGCTTCAATGAACTGTCATAAATTAATTAATTCAACTGCGTAATAAAGTTATTCCTTTTTCTCTCCTAAGCGAAGCAGATTTATTCTTATCTCTATTTATCAACCCCTAACATTGAACGTAAGATTGTATAAAAATTGTTCGAGTTATATGGCGCATCTGAACTCGTCTGTCAAAAAATTGGCGCATGGTATGCAAAAGGTTGGCCACCCCTGCTTTATCTCATAGACTTTGGTTTAGCAAAAGAATATATTCTCAGAAGAAAACATATGCCTTATCGTGAGGATAGAAATTTGACTGGTACTATCAGGTATGTTAGCATCAATACCCATTTGGGTATCGAACAAAGTCGTAGGGACGATATGGAGTCGATAGGATATGTGTTAATGTATCTTAATCGCGGAAGTCTACCGTGGCAAGGTTTGGAAACAGAGACCGAAACAGAGATATATGAAAAAATACGTGAACTAAAAATGTCGATACCAGTAGAAGTTCTTTGTAATGGATTTCCGGCCGAATTTGCAACGTACTTGAATTACTGTCGAGGTCTCCGCTTTGATGAAACTCCAAATTATACTTACCTGAAGCAATTATTTAGCAATTTATTTCGCACACTGAATTATCAATACGACTACGTATTCGACTGAAACAATGTTAATTTAATTAAGCAAAAACAGAAAGCCGACCAGTCGGAAGTAGCAAATTAATGTTTTTTTGAATGGGTTCCGTTTTATTTATATGTAAAAACAGTTATGTCAATGGAAATGTAACATTATAAGAAATTCTGTGACGATTGTTTTTTATTTCAATTGTTTTTTATTGTTCCCGATAGCAGATACAATGTTATTTTTATATCTTAATTGTAATTATTTTTAAATCTTAATTGTAACGTTTAATGCGTTAGTCGTTTGTACATATCTTTTAAACTGTAAATGTTCAAATTAAATTTTCAACATCTAATAACTTTTGTAAACTGTTTAAGAACTACTCATCTCATCGTGCCATATCAGGTTTTTCCCGACCTCGGCCACACCCGGCGTAGATTAGTAAGTAGTTAGTAAATACGCCAAGGCGTTACTAGTTAAAGTTAGTACCCAGAGTGGTTTCCCGTTGCCTTCTCTGGGGCGCGATGTTACGCGAAGGGAACTAATACCTTCCGGGAGGACTTTTATGGGGAACTGGCCTCCTATTTAGTCGTTATTGGCAAGGAGAAAACCCGGAAAACTCCAAGCAGCCAGCCTGTCCGATCGCGGCGCGAACCCACGACCGAACTCCCAGTGTTTAAGGTACGAAGACCACTCGGCCACTGGTGGGCTTAAGAACTACACAGGAATATGAATATTTCATTCCAGTATATTTTACAGAGATTATAGTATTAAAAAAATTTTTTTTGTTAATGTTTATTATACATAAAGAGGTAACTTTTATCTGTTTTGTATTTTCATAAAGATTTTTTTTCGTACATTTACTATAATAATCAAAAGCAACAAATGTAAATTGAAAATTAAGTTTATTTTTTACGTTCTTTATGAGACAATACACTATTTTTAACCTTACAGAAACTTGCATTTAATTTATATATCATACTAACTGTTACCCGCGGCTTCGCTCTCGCGGATTTTGCAAGCAAACCCTATTTACATTCAATATTTCAACAACCATAGTTCGTGAAATTTTGCCGCCCCCTAAAAAGAGCCGCCCGGGACGGACCGCCCACCCCTACGGTACGCCACTGACAAATGCATATATACAGATATTTTTTTGAAAGTTGGAAATAGTCTTCACAATTTGAAATCTATCGATCTCACGATGAAATGCTCGTATACACTCGCGCCATCTATCGTAGGATAAATGTACTATGCCAGAAACCTTCGCGGGAGTATATTAAACAACTTCCCAAAGTTTCGTGGCAATCGGATAAACGGTGTGGTAATACATGAAGGACAGACACACAGACATACATTCAGTTTTATATATATAGATATATAGATTACAACAGAATATGCTAACTGGAAATGTAGATTAGTTAACAATTTAGTATATATATTTTCTCCTACACATAATTCATACTTTTTAACAGGGCTTTGGAGCGACCATTTTTTTGAGTTGCTCCGCTCCAGCTCCGCTCCGGTATCAAAGTATTTGCTCCAGCTCCGCTCCATGCTCCGCTCCACGCTCTGATTAAAATATTCTTATAGGAATTACACTAATTTTGTCTTTGGTATATAAGTACGCATAAAAAAACTTGTTTATTTACAACTAATTTATTATTAAAAAAATTAACATACAACCTCATTGATTTTAATAAATAAAATGGCAGACAGCAAATCGTCCTTCATTGACTGCCTGTTATCACTTAAAAGCAATCTTAATCCGGAAAATAGACGTTCAACACTTGCTTGAAAAGTTGGCATGCTTGAAGCGACTCTGCATGCTTTTCTGATGCGTTCTGGATAATGGTCAATGGCTTCGAATACATTCACCTTTAATCTTCCCACATCCTCTATTGCATTGCAGTCTTTCTCAACGTGTTTGTCTATTTCGTTGTCTTCTTTATTATGTACTAGCTTACCCGTCGCGCATTGCTGCGATCTCAGAAGAGATGAAATTCAAGCAAACTCGTTATAATAAAATTAAATTTTCATTTTATCATTTTTATTGAAATATATTATTATTATTCGTTTTCATCGGGAAAACATTTCAAAGTGTCGTTTCAATTCTATTTATTTATTGGAGTGCTCGTGGATACACGATATTTTTTGTTTTTTCGTCTGGTGCGTACACGAATAATTCGGAAGGTTTTCCGACGCGTGAGCTGGCCACATACAGTTGTCCATGCGAGAAGCACGGATTCTCCAAATTTAGCCCACACACTTGCAGCGATTGTCAAAAGCGCGATATTCCCCATTTATATATATATTTTTAAATCCTTTATAATTTTAATTATTTAATTGCTCCTTCCTCTCTTCCTTGGCATGTTGGGAAATTTCTGATAGTTAGATAATAAACCGTTTTATTGTAATTTGTCTTTTTAAATTATTTCGAGTCGATATTAAAATTTGAAAAAGGGCGATACCTAGATCGGTAAAATAGGCGAATTTCTTCCTACAACTTCGGTCGTTGTTCGGGGTACAGTTAAGATTTTAACGAAGTTCGAGCGAAAACATAATTAGCAAAAAAAGTCGAAATAAAGTGATTAAACAAAAATGATTACAAATATCGTAAATAACAGTTCACAAATGCATATATAGAGACATATATATTTTTGAAGGGGGGAAATGGTCTTCACAATTTGAAATCGATCAAACACACTATGCGCGAATGCTCGTGTAAACGCGCGCCATCTATCGTAGGATAAATGTACTTCGCGGGAGTGTATTAAAAAACTTCCCGAAGTTTCATGGCAATCGTACTATGCCACAAACCTTCGCCGGAGTATATTAAACAACCTCCCAAAGTTTCATGGCAATCGGATAAACGGTGTGGTAATGCATGAAGGACATAGGACACACAGACACACAGACAGACATGCATTCATTTATATATATATAGATAGTGGAAATTCGACGACTGTTTTCCCTTCTATCCAATTCCTTTTCAAAATCATCATCTTCCGAATATATATTTATCATATCACAGGTTGGCTGTGACAGCTCAACAATTGCTGGCTTTTCAGCCAAATCAAGTAGAGTTTGCCTTTTAATTCGCCATTGGATGTCTGAAAGACCTTCTCTTGCTTTTAGTTTTTCTTCCGCACTTAATAAGATTCTATATCTAGAATCAACATACACTCCAGCAAGAAAATGTATGTTTTGAATAAGTTTTTCTTTCCGCTTTTTCATGGAAGACAGAATTCCTAACGCAACATATCCTCCAAATTCTTCCATGCATTTTTCTAATTTACACCATTCTTTCATAAACATCCCCGGAGTAAGATTGGCAACTTGAAGGGCAATTGTCGAAATATTTGGTTTTTCTAAAACAGCTCTGATATGTTTTACTTCGTCCCATTCTGCTTTGCTAAGTTCTAGGTCTTTTGTCCCAGCAGCAGCTACTTGATCGCAGTAGTCTTTGAAAAAAAGAAGACGATCAAGCATGGCATATGTAGAACCCCATCTTGTTACTGTATCTAGAAATTGAGTTTTACCATACATTTTCAGCAGAACATTACGAATTGTTGGGGTTCGTAATTTTACCACAACCCGTCGAATTTTCCCTAATATTTTTGTTATTCGTTCATTCTTTAATCCAGGCTTCTTAAACTATGGGTCGCGACCCCATTTGGGGTCGCTTAGAGAAATCTTGGGGTCGCGAGATTTTAATGCAAAATAATGAAAATAATTTGTGAGAGTTTGAAAAGGCACGCTTTGTGCCATAGGTTCGTGAGTTGCGCTTTGTGTCACTTCTGGTGCAGCGAGACAATGATTCAGCAACACTGATTGTAGTGTGAATTAGTGTAGTGTTGTTGCTTTTCAGTGTATTCAGTTGTCTTTGTTTCCTCGTAACACAAGAGTGAACTGTGGTAGTACACCATTATTGTTTTTGCAAATTTGTATATCTTTATTTTATATATAATTTTTTTTTGGGGGGGTCGCGAAAAAAATCACAATCATAAATGGGGCCGTGAATAAAAAAAGTTTAAGAAGCCCTGCTTTAATCCATCCCAAATGGCCAGTTGAAGAGTGTGAATCCCACACCTCATTAGATGAATTTTCGTATTATCATTAGTCCATGCTGGCAATATTAGGGAAGGATTGTTAATCCACTGTGGCGAAATGTCTACATTCATTTCTTCGATGTCTTCAGTTTTTTCATCTTTATCCTGGAAAATATTTTCATGATCGCCAAGTTTATTTACAGCACATGTCATGTTTGCTGCATTATCTACACAAATACTTAGTACTTGTTTTTCATCAATTTCAAATTTGTTCAAAGTTTCTTTAATTTGATTTTTCACATATAAAGAGTTATGTCTTCCTCCAGTATCGACAATATCCAATGTTTTTATTTCAGTTTTTTTTGTTTTTTTCATTCCAAAATTGTACATTGATGGCAAGAAAATTTCTATTTCCACGGGTTGCAGCATCTAGCTTTAAATAACATAATTGTCCTTTTAAAGTTTGTCTTAGATTGATGCGCGCAGACTCTGCTGTGCTTATTACTAAATGACGAACAGCATCATGTCCTATCGAAACACCAAGCTTCTGAGCCATTTCACCAGCAATCTTTTGAAATCCTTTGTTATTTAATGTGAACATAGCGAGTGATGTCATACTCATACAAACCATTTCAACAAGTCCCTCGCGGAAAGTATTGCTATCCATAGTGATTGTAATCTTCGATGATGTAAAATATTTATCAATTTTTGGTTGATCAGTTCTGCATTTCTTATGATATGAAAGTGCATTGGAAAGATTGTCATGATTATGTTTTCTTCTTGCAGCAACTTCGTCTTGTTGATCCTTCTTTTTAACTAACCCTTCATAAATTTCAGGATGATTACGCTTCACATGACGCCAAAGATTGAACTTTTTCGACACACTAGTTCCACTTGCCTTGAAGTTACATTGTATAGATTCGCCATTTACAATGTGTTCCATCTTGCATGTGTTCCATCTTGATTTTTTCTTTCCATTATCGTATTGAAATACGAATATCTCTTTAAGCTCTTCTTCTGTAAATCGACTGTCTATCATGGGTGATGGTTTTAAATTTTGGTTTGACGCCATGGCTTAAATAATCAAATAATTAAGTGTTATTAATTGAGAAATTACGCATATAAACAATTCGTGCATACAAAATAACCAAATAATAATAATAATCTTACCTCTGCAAACAAATTATAAAATATGATATACGATTATAACAAACTGATTGCGAACAGAAATGAACGACTGTCACACTCAAAATCAAATGTAAGAAATGAATATTAGTGCTGCTCCCTAGTGGTGAATTTCTAGTAAAGTGCTAATGACTAAAGCCACTTGTAAACA